ATAAAGTGAATATTGATATAGATGCTCTGGAAAGCAAAGTTCATTTTTTCTTACATTCGATTTTTTCGACCATCGAGATATTTCGATACATTTTCATAAGCTTTGCACTGTCTTTTTTAAGAAAGGAAAGGAAAAACTATTCTATCACTCCTTGAATGATTAAATTTTTAAAGTGTCAGTTTTAAAAACAGAATAGAATTTGAGGTTATGTATAGGTTAAAAACGTGGGAAAATTTTGAAAATTGTAGGTACAAAGTCATCAATGCAAAATTAGAATTTCATCCTCAAAATTAAAGTTTTGGTATTTTTTTAAATTCATATATTATTATATTTAACACAGAGATGAAAATGTCAAGACATCAAAAAGAAAAATTTTTCGAGGTTTTGTCTTTTGTTGAAATTCCTGATGTTCCGGAAAAATAGTCACACACATACGCAAATGCTTTGTAATTGTGGTTTCATATGGTAATAATTTCCATCAAAGTTACTGAGCAAATAGTTTTTAAATATTTTTATTAGAACATTAAACTGTATACAATATTAAAGTCGTGATACATGAAAGTTACTACTGCGGTTAACATTTAACTAAACTTTTTTTGTACTTTAAATAATTAAAAATAATTTTTTTTTAAATATGCACGGTAATTATTTTTTGTATTGACAAATTTCACTTTTCAATTAAAATTATTAATTAACAGAAAAGTTGCTTGCTGGGACATCGTACGGTAAGTACATTTGTAATAAAATAAAAAAAAAAAAAGTTTACATTAGAATAAAAATTAAATTAGCCCCATTATAAACATACCAGAAGGAACTTTTAGCAAAAAAAAAATCAATTTAAAAGTTTATCCGCAGCAAAAAGTTATCAAGTTTTCCCTTATTTTAACAATTACCCCTTTTACTGCTTTACTTTTTATTATTTTTGCGTTAAATTATAGTTAATGAATAGAAGAACGATGTTCCTTTTACCATTCTCTAACATTTCTAAAAAAAATTAACCCTAAATCTTTTTTAATTTTAGATAAATTTTGCCATTTTTAAAAATTGTTTTTTCTCACATGCCCTTAAAACTTTATTAATACTACCTTTTCATATTTATAATAAACAAAAACAGAAGCGTAAATTAAAACCTAAGTTATAAATTAATACTAGACAATTAAGTTAATGAAAAATAAAGTGAAGGGGAAATATTAATTTTGAAAGATATGAAGTGACACTCAAAGGACTAAGTCAGGATAGGAATGACATTATCCTCTCTTTGAGTATCATCAAACAATAATGCACTCAGTGGGTGGTAATTGAAATTTCGTGTTTGATATAGAAACATTGATGTGGAACATTGTTTTGTTCCAGGATCCTATATATCAAAGAGGGAGGGGGGGGGAATAAAATCTAAAACATGTACAAACATAAACATTGATTTAAATTAAAATTTATTTATGTAATAACCCAACCAAAAATTTCAGTATTATACCAGAGTTAACTACTGGCTCAGTACTGGTTCAGTATTGGCTGTCGAGGCTGGGCAGTTTGTACTGAACCAGTACTGGTATTTTCATTGTATCAGTACTGGTGCAGTACCACCCTTCCAATACTGGCAAACCAGTACTGAGCCGATATTGAGCCAGTACCGGCTCAAATAGATTTTCTGTTTGATTAATACTAGTTTACAAAAAGTTCTAGAGTGAACCTGATGAATCTTTTTGTTTAAATATTTTGTTTATAAAAATTTTTTCCCTTTGATTTCATTTTTGAAAATTAAATGATATTTTATTTTGCTTTTTTGTGAGTAAAATTATTTAAACAAAAAGTTTCCTGAGACTAATTCCAAAACATTTTGCAAGTTTTTTTTTATTGTTTTCAGATATGCAATAAACCAAAAAAAAATTTAAACGATCAAACTAAAAATAAATAAAATTTTTTATAAAAAAAATTAATAATTTTTAAAATAAAAATTTTAAAAAATTTTCTTGACAACACTTGTTAAAAATTAAAAAACAACTTTTATTTTCTTAAAAAAGTTTTTCAAAAATTTATTTTTATGTAAATAATAATTAATGTGAATAATAAAATAATTAAATAGCTAATTTTATAATTATATACATTATAGGGTAAAAGCAGCAGTTCTCGCGAATTTAAGACGACAACGCCTGACTTTGATATTTTTTTTCTCAGCGGTAAATATATATCAAAATTTGATTTTTGTATATTTGGATAAAAAATTTAATAATGTTCAATATTTATATTTATTTTTATAAATTAAATTAAATTGATAAATAAAAATTGTAATTAAATGTCAATTGAGCAAAATCACCATTTCTCGATGGTCGCGAACCAATTTCTCGAGGTTCGGTTCCACTCCTCGAGGGTGACATTTTGTAAACAAATAACCTAACAATTAACCTTTACAAAAACTTAAAAAGTCGATTGTGTATTTATTTTTAAGATTAAAATATCATAGAAGATTACCAGGAAAGAAATATATTTTTTAAATTGTAAATGTTTAGTTTAAAATATTAAATTGAAAACTTTTTTTGGTAAACAGTAATAAGTAGAAAATTATTCAAGTTTTTTTAAAAAAATTTAAAAATATCTCATTTAATCAAATATGTTAAGCACACACTTTTTATTATAAATCTGACAAATAGAAAAATAAATGTTTCAAAATTAATATGTTTTTTCTAATTTGTACACGGAAAAAACAAACTAACTATTTTAGCACCAAACTGCTTTATCCTTTATTAGTATGCAATTTCGTTTACCTATTAAAGTATGAAATAATGCTTTTTTAGTTTAAAGTAAGTCCATACTAAATAAGTATAATGGTTATACTCTTTTAGTAATAGTGACGTACTTTAAAAGCATAAAGTTGATGCCCGCGAAGTACGACATACGGTCTACCTAAAATAGCAAGAGCTTCTTCCTTTTTGGTGTATAAATTCTTGCAACCTGCGTTTTGGCCTATATCGATATATCAATGGTTGGAAGGAGAAGGAGGCGTGGCCAAAACGCAGGTTGCAAGAATTTATACACCAAAAAGGAAGAAGCTCTTGCTATTTTAGGTAGACTATATGTCGTACTTCGCGGGCATCAACTTTATGCTTTTAAAGTACGTCACTATTACTAAAAGAGTATAACCATTATACTTATTTAGTATGGACTTACTTTAAACTAAAAAAGCATTATTTCATACTTTAATAGGTAAACGAAATTGCATACTAATAAAGGATAAAGCAGTTTGGTGCTAAAATAGTTAGTTTGTTTTTTCCGTGTAATATAAAAAATAACTTACCTATTAGTATTTTGCATCTCTGATCACTGTTTGACGTTTGATAAACAATAACTTAACCTACTTTCTAATTTATTTGTTTTTCTGTTTCGAACCATCGAGAACTGGTGCATTAGCTAAAAAACTGAATTCACCAATTCTCGAGTCATTACCTCGAAAAATGGAGAAAACTTAAAATATGGAACCAGATACCGATGATTTGTTTTTAAAAAATATAAAATAATTATTTTAACATATATTTTTACATGCAAACTGAATATAGTTTTTCTACAATAATATACAAATATTTTTTCACAGAAAAAATAATTAATAATATAATTAAATTGTATTTCTAAAATTCTATTCTCATCAACCTGAAGTATTATAAGAAAATGACGAATCGAGTAAAATTGACAGCAATGCATTTTAATTTTAATTTAATAATTATTTTAGTGGCGTTTATATAAAATTTTATTAAGTGAATCTATATAGTTGAAAGTATAAAGAATATTTACAAATTATTTTTGTCTATAAATTTTCAATAATATACTATTTATAGAAAAAATAAGATTAAAATCATCGAGAAATGGTGCACCCTCGGTAACTGGTGCTTTTACCCTAATTATTTTATAAACATTTTTATTTTTATATTTATTTTTTGATTTTTTTAAATAATAATTTGCAATATATTTTATACTTAATAAAAAATAAAAACTGTTGGTGTTTTCGATTTTATATATAATAAAATATTAATTAGTTAGTTGACTAATTTAATTAATATTTAATTTTTGTTGGGTTACTAAAAATTTCACACACTTTTTCCTGAAAAAAAAGTATTACCTGCAGCAGAGATTTCACTATTGCATGCGAAATTTATCTCTGTTACAGTTAAAGCTCTCTTTTCGTATACAATAAATTATAAAACTACCAGTACTCAGCCAGTACTGAACCAGTAGTGGTTACCAGTACTGGTGCCAACTCTGGCAGCCAATACTGGTAAAATGTTATCATCCCAAAGTTACGCCAACTGTGGTACCAATACTTGTTGCCAGTACTGCGCCAGTACTGCGCCATTAGTAAAGTTTTGATTGGGAATTCTTCTCCATTGAAATAAAATTTAAAAAAAAAAGAATTGTGAAAAAATAATACATAAAAAGCATATTGTTATTCGGATATAAATAAATGACAAAATATGAAATCAAAGGGATAAAAATTTTTTTGAAATTGAAAATTTTCCCTCAGATTAAAGACAAAAGAAGATTACAGAAATGAATATATATATATATGAAAGTTAAAAGCAGAAAATAGATTTTACTATCAGCGGAAATGATAAAATATTGCTCTAGGTGGAAAAAAAAGAACAATGGAGGCTAAATATTCAAGCAACTTCTTTATTTTGTATATATGTTCCTATAATACTGCATTAAAAAGATTTATATTCTAATAAAAAATGTCTTTTGCAATAAATAATTGACAAATATATATATATATATTTTTTTTTTCTATCTCTTATAATAGTTTTTTCTTTTCGTTTTGAGGGAAAATCAAGTTAAACGAAAAGTCACAATAAAAAATTCTATTTGTTCCAATTTAAAATATTAAAATGTTATTAGCCTTGACATTTGACAGTTAAGGAAATTGAACTGCGCGGCTAACATGATGCTCTCTTGGATTTTCATTAAAATAATTTTCCCCTCAGGTTAACAGAGATTTCTTCTTTTCCTGTTTCTAGATGATGAGTTTGGAGAGAAGACGGTATCAATTTTACTAGATGGTGAAGAATCTGAAATGATATTCATTGATCATCCCCACATTGAGATGAGTGTGAGTAAAGATTTCAATATTATCTTATACTTTTTTCCTTCATCTCTTTTTTTTCCGTATATCATCTTTTCTCATTATTCATTTCTTATTATATTGAATTCTTAGTTAATTTTTCTTTACAATATTTATTTAATAGAATATTAATTTTTAATTAAATCATAAAATTTTAACTTAAATTAAATCATAATTATTAGACAACAATTAATTTAATTGTATTAGAATTCTGCAAATTAATCTATCTTGTGAGCATTAAATATGCTTAAATCTCCAATAAATTTTCTGGTTTCCATAAATTGACAGTGATTTGGTTCTAAATGCAGTTAGTTAAGTGCAATTAAATTTGTTAGCTTCATTGATTAATTATTCCGTTCATAACTCATCATGCCTTTATAGTGTGGTATAATTTCAAGTTGAATATTTATGAAAATAATAAAAGAAGTGTAAATCAATGTTTTAATATAATAATTAATATTTCAAGTAGTTTTCATATAAACTTGATTTAATAAAATAGATTTAAATTGCTAATACGTAATTTTCATTTTTAAATATAAAAACAGATTTTAACTTTGTAAAATCACTTTTTCAAGACCATTGGTTTGAGTTCCATCTTCCCTTCTTGATTATTCATTCTCATTTCTTTTTTTTTTTTTCCTCGTCTCAAGGAATCCAATTCGCATAATAATTAGAGCGAAGCGTGTTGGTAAATTCAAGCAGTGGATGGTAAATTTTAAATTACAAAGTTAGTCACCCAGGCGTTGGTGAATGTAAAACGAAAATGAAATTCAGACCCAGAGATTTCAAACTAGTTGCAGTTAATTTAAAAATTGTGTAACTGATTTTTCAAACAAAAAAAGAAATCTGAGTTGCAATCACATGTGTAATTGTGCAATATTTAAACGCGAAGGTTGAATCAGATGGAATTAAAATCGACAAATATATTTCATGGAGAATTTCTGATCTCAAGGATATCGTGTAAATAATTGCAGAGATTTTGTTGAAGAATCGGAACATTTAGAAGCTGACTACAATTTTTTTATTTCATATGCATTCATAGAGTTAAAGAGAAATTGTTTTATTAATTCTGAAAATGGTTCGAAGGAAAAAGTTAATCGCTCTCCTGGGTAGAGGAACAGGAATTGTGCTTTTAGAGTGTTCCCTGGGTTAAATAAATAATATCTAAATAGTCCCCAATCGGGTCGGAGATACTGAATACAACACCGCTTCAAGGTAGTGAAATGCATATCTAGTTCCTAGCTAGTTTTTTTTGTAACTTCTCTAGATTCTCAGTAATGGCTAGAATTCAGTATGGTCGTCAGGGGAAGGAAATTTAATATTTTCCCTTACAGGAGTGAATTATCAAGAGAGCTGATATAAAACTGCTGGGGTCAATTATGTAAATTGTAATTGTCTTTGTTTTCCACCTTTAGAAAAATTCAGTTGTTTTTCACTGAAAATTAAATTACATTTTAAAAACACAGTTTTCTCACTGTAAAAAGAAAGTACTAAAACAGTACCGAAAAGTACTAAAACATTACCGATTTTAGGTACCAAGTGACAATTTAGTATCTGAAGTCGGTATTAACTTAATACCTTTCTTTTTACCAGTGCTTGTAGGCGTTCGAATTGATATCCTAAATCGGATCAACTCATGCAACGTTTTGGTTCGATTAAGGTATCAAATTGATTGCCAAATATTGGAATCATTTTTTAAAACATTTTAAGGGTCAGAAAAAGAGAAACAAAGTGACAAAAAAATTAAAATGTCCGGAAAATGATTTTAATTTAATTTTCAATGATTAAAATAATAAGCGTTGCAGCTTATTTTAATGCCTTTTAATTTTCTGTGTTGCAGTACAATCCTATATAGAAACGTAAAATTAATGGATTTTTTCCATAATTACGTTTTTATGAAAGTTCGTATGTTACAGTTTTTTTTTTATTTATGTCTCATCTGAATCTAAACAAGATTTTGAAAAGAAAATTCCTTCAAATAACAGTACATTGATAAAAATTTTATACGAGACAAGTAGACTTAATAAAATTAGAAATTGTAAAATATTCATATGGCGAATGCAATTTGTATAAAAAGAAAAAAGTATAGTAGAATCCTGGTTTGAACTACATTTGTCTAACATTCCAATATCATATACAAAATTACTTTAAAATTTCTGAAAAATACAATAGTCATAATTTTTTTTTAAAATTGTATTTATTATTATTACTGGAAAATGGAGAATTCTAGTCGAACTTGAACTAACTTGAAACTACTACTGCCGCTGTTGAATTCGTTGCAATTTATGAAATGGTGAGATTTACTCGAATGGTGCATTTTCTATTGTTTCGCGTTTCCATTTCCAATGGTTTTTGTTATTTAAAGACCATATTAGACAGCTTAAATCTAAAGAGAATTTTGAAGCACAGCTGCGCGACGTTATATATTAAAGGTCTTTACGCGCTTATAAATTGGGTCGTGTTTAATACACCATACATTATTGTCATACATTACATTGTATACTAATTTCAAAAGCAATCAGCTTTACGGGAATCATTGTTAGTATTATGAATAAATATTCATAATATCAAACCTTGATTTCAAATACCTGGCAAATTCCAGTATACCTGCTACCAACGTATCAAGGCTATTGAAATTAATTGGAACACTTATTGTTAGAATTACCCCTAGAATCCAATTAGTTATTTTTTTCTGCTCTTAGCTATTTTTTTTTATTTTTCTCCAACAATGCTTTTGTTATTTGAAAATTATAGATTCACGAGAAAATTTCTAAGAAGTTTTACATTAAAAGAATGTACTTCTGCAAAAAATATTTTTTTGTAGTCTGAATTTTAATTTAATATAAAAAAATTTTGTATTTTAAATTCTCTTTTTAAATTTAAAATTAAATAGTTAGGGATTATTCATTTACTGAGTCGTATTGCAAAGAATGTAAAAATAAGTAACGATTTTTTTTACATCTATATAGGGAAACTTTTATTATGTAACAGTATTACCTTCAATATATTTTCAATAAAAGTGAAAACTTTGCGTAGGCCTATAGGCTTGTAAATAAGTAAGTTATTTTTTTTTTAAATTATGAAAATGTATATATATATTGAGAACCGAGCCCCTGTTGATTATAATATAATTTTATTATGTCAGCCTTTTTAAAAACGTTTTTACTTAATAGGTGGAAAATTCTCTCTCAACATACGAACCGCACGCCTGTATTGTTGTCTACTCAGTAGTATCACGTGCAAGTTTCAAGGTTGCGGAAGAAATGTTAAATTATCTCTGGAGAGAACATCATACACAGGAGCGATCCGTTATCGTTGTGGCCAATAAATCGGATCTTGAAAGAAGCAGAGTTATTACACCAAACGGTAAGAAAAAGTTTTACAATATTTTTCAATGGGATTTATTTAGTTCATTTTCTCCTTAAAACCTTATTTTTAAAGTCGATATTGTTATATATCCATATTTTGAAGTTGTTTAAAAAAAAAATTTAATTCTGAAACCAATAATACATAGCTGCGGATTTCATTTTATTGATGTCGTCAAACAAAAAATTGGGACCGCATGTTATTAATTATTGAGAAGTCAAACTATAATGGTTGATGGAATTAAATTTTATAAAAATTGTGGTTAGTGAACTTTAAAAGTCAATGAATTCAATTCATTATTAATACTTCGACACATGTTACCTAGAATAGCTATTTCACACATTGATCGAAAACTTCCTAAATTGGGTGCTTTACTGTTAATGTTAGACTTCCAAATTGATGATTAAAGTATTCCGAATTTAAATAATTATATATTCTCAAATTACATTCTCTTTTGGTAGTCGATTTGTCCCTTTTTGTAAATAACCAAACAGTTTTTCCTTTTGCAAACAAATTTTCGTTGATTTTGTTATTGCAATTGATTTCCGCAATCTTTTAACTTACCGACAAATTAATTATCACAGAAGAAAAGGTGAGTAAATAGTTGTAAAGATAGAGGATAAAAGTCGTTAGGATACAGGGTAAAGGATAAATTTGTGATGGATAAAAATGTTACTAAAATATTACTGGGTCAAACCATTACATTTCAACTAAAGTGGTCGCTGACTAATTTTTAAAAATTATAATACTTTGCAGAAATGATTTTGAAGTTATCAAGATCACGAAATGAAAAGAATTTTATTAAAAATTTAAATATTTATTGTAAAATATGAATTTAAAGTATATGAGGTGCTAAAAACTGTCAATTTTTTAGCCATTAGAAAATATGCAAAAAAACATAGAATTTACCATAAAAATAAAAAAAAATTATTGGAATTTACTAAGAATGAATAAATTTATCATTATCAATTGATATAATTATTTAAAGATGTGAAGTAATATATAAAATATGATTTCCAAGTGCACCTGTCAAATAACCTAATTTTGCGATTTTTATTCATTAATTATAAAAAATAGAAAACATTAAATTAAATAAAAACTTACCAAATATGAAGTTCTTGCCATAAACTTTTAGAATTTCTTTGCACTTTTCTTCTTTTCTATTCATAAGTATGAAAAATTTAAAAAATAAAATAGCTACTTTGTCTATTTTCACTATTTTTGAAAGTCAATAACTTTCTTGGAGAAAAATGAAAAAATATGGGGTTTCGAAAATTATTTAAATACACACTACATATACATTCACTGAAAATTTCGCATTGGTCCCGAAGCTATTTTCGAAGATAAAGTAAATTAAAAATTTCGTATTTTTTAGGCTATATGGACATGGATTTTAAATCAATGTGAAGGTGGTTCACTGGTGACGACAAACTTCACATTGATTTAATACCTTTAAAACCCATGTCAATATAGCCTAAAAAATACGAAATTTTTAATTTACTTTATCTTCGAAAATAGCTTCGGGACCAATGCGAAATTTTCAATGAATGTATATGTAGTGTGTATTTAAATAATTTTCGAAACCCCATATCTTTTCATTTTTCTCCAAGAAAGTTATTGACTTTCAAAAATAGTGAAAATAGACAAAGTAGCTATTTTATTTTTTAAATTTTTCATACTTATGAATAGAAAAGAAGAAAAGTGCAAAGAAATTCTAAAAGTTTATGGCAAGAACTTCATATTTGGTAAGTTTTTATTTAATTTAATGTTTTCTATTTTTTATAATTAATGAATAAAAATCGCAAAATTAGGTTATTTGACAGGTGCACTTGGAAATCATATTTTATATATTACTTCACATCTTTAAATAATTATATCAATTGATAATGATAAATTTATTCATTCTTAGTAAATTCCAATAATTTTTTTTTATTTTTATGGTAAATTCTATGTTTTTTTGCATATTTTCTAATGGCTAAAAAATTGACAGTTTTTAGCACCTCATATACTTTAAATTCATATTTTACAATAAATATTTAAATTTTTAATAAAATTAAAAATTCTTTTCATTTCGTGATCTTGATAACTTCAAAATCATTCCTGCAAAGTATTATAATTTTTAAAAATTAGTCAGCGACCACTTTAGTTGAAATATAATGGTTTGACCCTACTAGAAAAATGGATGTCATATTTGAGTAAACTGTCTAATTTTAATAAAAATATTAGTAATTTTACACTTAACTTGTTAAATCCACAAATTTTATATAAATAAGTAATTGTATGTGGAAATATTTTGCCTATAATTATTGTCTATTAATAAAAATATCTTTGACTAATACAACTGACAGCTGACGATAGTGCGTAAATAATCAGAACTGGGAAATTACAACTCAACGTCTGTATTGTTGCACGAAAGCAGAGTTGGCTAGTAACTGAATTTTTTGTGCATATTAGGCTGTGTCAGTTCATCGAGATATTTCGAGTTCAAGATATGGCGTCAGAGGCCTGGAGGGACAACAAACAGACGACACAATGTTATTCTTACGGGGAAGAAAATTTGTTAACACTTTCATCAATTTTATTCATACTTTAAACACGGAAAACGCTTGTTGACATATAATAAAATTAAAATATGTGTTGATAATTAATTTTGTTATATATTTGATTCAATTGCATTTATAGATTCTCTGAATTCGTGATAAAATATATTGAGGTTAGAAAAGTTTGTTTACTAATTACATTTTAACATTATTAAACAATATCCAGTATGCATGTTATTAAAAAAGATATAAAATGTATATTTTAAGTGGGAATTACCGCAGCAGTAAAAGATTTCAAGTTAGTAAACAAACACCCCTAACCTCAAAATTTATATTTTATCACGAATTCAGAGAATCTATAAATGCAATTGAATCAAATATATAACAAAATTAATTATCAATACACATTTTAATTTTATTATATGTCAACAAGCGTTTTCCGTGTTTAAACTATGAATAAAATTGATGAAAGTGGAAACAAATTTTCTTCCCCGCAAGAATAACATTGTGTCGTCTGTCTGTTGTCCCTCCAGGCCTCTGACGTCATATCTTGAACTCGAAATATCTCGATGAAGTGACACAGCCTAATATGCACAAAAAATTCAGTTACTACCCAACTCTGCTTTCGTGCAACAATACAGACGTTGAGTTGTAATTTCCCAGTTCTGATTATTTACGCACTGTCGTCAGCTGTCAGTTGTATTAGTCAAAGATATTTTTATTAATAGACAATAATTATAGGCAAAATATTTCTACATGCAATTACTTATTTATATAAAATTTGTGGATTTAATAAGTTAAGTGTAAAATTAGTAATATTTTTATTAAAATTAGACAGTTTACTCAAATATGACATCCATTTTTCTAGTAATATTTTAGTAACATTTTTGTCCATCACAAATTTAACCTTTACCCTGTATCCTAACGACTTTTATCCTCTATCTTTACAACTTTTTACCCACCTTTTTTTTCTGTGATTTCTACCTCAAGCTAATTATATGACTTGATATATTTATTCATCGTTAAATATATTGTAAGATTTAAATATGCAGAAACGATCTACCACATGGCGACCCTCTTCAATGAAAGAAAAACGGATGAAAACATTACATTCATTTTTTTTTGTATTGTTGATTTTTCAAATTTTTTTCGAGCGAGACTCACTTGACGTGCATCACTATCCACTTTTCTAATCCATAACAGACTCATAGCGAGTGGGTTGCTTCCTGAGATGGTACATCAACTCGCATTGCGAGACAAAAGCCTCTTGCTCATTATGCGAGCTTTCAACCACTGCGACCGCACGAGTCCAACTTTAAGTGACCGAGTTTGAAGCGAATTTCCACCTCGATTGCCTGTAGTATTATTTATATACTGTCATGAATATCTGTTGAAATTTATAATTAACATTTCTAAAAATAATTAAGAAAATAAATTTTTAAAAACTTTTTTAATGTCGTGTTAAAAGAAATGAAAAAAAATTCAGTCATGTATAATGTATTTTAACTCTCATATTTAGAGGCATTGGATTTTTTTGAAATTCCACACGTGTTTTATCGTTGCTTAAATCAAAAGTATATATCATCTTTTATGCTAAATAAACTTGTGCACTATCTCTGTTTTATGCGGTACGTCTTATTGCAGTTGTTCTGCAAAAATATTACTCTGGGATATTCTCAAAGTATATTAGAAAATATCTCACGATATACTTTACGATGTTGGCATTTAGGAATAATATTGACGATATGTAGTGGAGTAGTTCATCATCTCTGAATCGATTTATCCAGTCAAACTGACCTACTTCTTCTTGTATTTTATTTTATATACCATGTGGGTCTGATTGTAATATATATAGTCTTCCTCTTGAGAAAGCTTTAGTACGTTATGCGTTAGAGGAGTTCAACTTCAAACCTTTGTCTACTTAATTATAATTGTTCAGAAGTTCTTAGTAAATGACTAAAACAAGAAAAGTTCTGTCACTAATGGAATATTCGTACCAATTTGCAAAATTTTAATTCAAAGAGTCATGGATCAACACTCTCTTCTCTTGTATGCCACTTTTCTTTGGGTTGTTCTTCTTCTGGATCTCTGCAGAAAATCTATGCTTAAGACTCTACAAACTTTGCTGCTTGAGACGTGAGTGGTGTTCTCGTTCCCATCGAACGTCGCAGGTTGCATCTTCTTACATTCTGCAAACTTATGATCAGCTTCTCCACACTTGAAGCACGCAGTGGATCTGTTCACTGCCTTATTACATTCTGTGACTTAATGATCGTAGTCAAAGCACTTCATAAGTTACTACCACCACTCTTCTCCTGACTGAGCAGAACATTAATACAATGTTTACACTAAGAGATTTTTAGTACAACATCTGTACTTTGACGTGTACACTGGCGATATTAAAGGACTTACAGTTACTGTACTTTACACTCTAAATCTGAATCAGTGAAAATTTCACTGAATTAAAGAAAACTGAGCCACTGATTTGAATTCAGTGAAATTTTCACTGATTCAGATTTAGAGTGTAATTTCGCACAAGAGCCGAACCTTATGGGTTCGAACGTTTTAATACAGTAGTTGCTATTTCCTCAAGTTTGGTTTAACATGAGGTTCCTTGATAATAATAATAATAATAAATTGAGAATTACCAAGAAAGGTAGTTTAAAAATAATTTGTAAACTGTGGTTTTTAATCTGTAGACTGCCGGAAAGCCTAAATTTATGATTTTTTGCTGGATTTGCTAAACGCCGGCAGACTAAAGATTAATTAACAAAAATTAATCTATTTGTTGTATTACTGTTTAAATAATAGTCTATTATTAATTTAACAGTAATTAAATTTATTTAAAAAAAAATATTTTTGCCCAGTGTAAAAGTGGTTCATATATTAAGTCTACTTTCATTTTGAACCTTTAACGAAAATGTAATTTACATATTCAGTCAAGTTTCATTTTGAACCTTCAACGAAATTGTAAATTACATATTCAGTCAAGTTTTGCCTTAAACATTTGCTCATATGCGGACATTTTAAGATTTAATCCATTTTTTTTGAACGCGGAGATGGAACTTTCCCAAGGTAACCTAAAAACATTCAGTGAAGCTTCAGGGAATTATCGGTGCTCTCTGTGGGTAATAACAAAACTTTCAAATGCAATATGTGTTGTTTCGTCCTTAGTCTTAGCTGTTCGTATGAATGGCGTCAGGTTCTTTAGACCTTCTTTAATCGTCATATTGATGTTCTGAATCTCACAAAAGTTCAGCATCTATTGCGAACCGAGCAATTTCTTTCTTTATAAAAAGTTTTGCATTATATCGAGTAATAAGTTAAAGATTGTCGTGGGGGTAGTGCAAAGTAAGGGGATTGCATTTACTTTCCCATGTAAAACCCGAAACTTTGCAACGCCAGAAATAAATGTCAGCATCCTAAGTTTGATTTAAAAACCCGCTTATTTACATTATTTATAAAAAAATATACATTTTAAAAAAGATGTAAAAGTAGAAAGTAAGCTTTTTTCTACATTTAATTTTTTTTTTAAAGTGGTATAAATCATGTCAAAAATTTCCCCTGCAGAGTTTGTATAACTTAGGTTAGGTTATAAGGTTATTATCAATAACTGATTACAAATTTAATATTAGATTTGTATAATCAGCAACACTGAATATCATTTTTGTACATAATTTATACATAATTTTGCGTTAAATTATTAAAAAATAAAGTTCAAAAAGTGGCATTTTTAAATGAAAATGAAAAGAAACATGGCGGCGCATCCCTGTTGAAAATTCCTATGTGAGAACACATATGGGATCCCATCCAGGATCTCTTGTGAGTTCTTATGTGGGTTCCCGTACAGGTTCACACATAAGATCCTGTATGAAAAGGTTCCTGGGATGAACTTGCGTGAGATCAAGCGCACGATCTTATGTCTCTGTAAAAGCAATAACACAGGATCCCATGAGGTTTCCTGTGTAGGTTCCTATATGAACAACACGATAAATAGGAACACACATGGGATCTTATCCGAGATCTTGTATGAGTTCTTACATAGGTTCTCACATATAAGAAGATTAATAGCATATATATAAAAGCATTCTATAAAATCTTATTAAGCTGCTATTAATCTTCTTATATGTGAGAACCTATGTAAGAACTCATACAAGATCTCGGATAAGATCCCATGTGTGTTTCCTATTTATCGTGTTGTTCATATAGGAACCTACACAGGAAACCTCATGGGATCCTGTGTTATTGCTTTTACAGAGACATAAGATCGTGCGCTTGATCTCACGCAAGTTCATCCCAGGAACCTTTTCATACAGGATCTTATGTGTGAACCTGTATGGGAACCCACATAAGAACTTACAAGAGATCCTGGATGGGATCCCATATGTGTTCTCACATAGGAATTTTCAACAGGGATACACAGACGTTGCTTGAGTGTATCAGTGCTCCATTAAACAGCGCCAATTCGAACAAGTGGCCACTGAATGAACTACGATTAAACACATTATTTGACTATTTATTGCTTTATTTTTATTATGTTTGCGTTAAGTTGTAGTAAATGAGTAAAATAGCGAGATTCCTTGTACCACATACCCTTAAGCAGATTCAAACAATTTTTTAAATTTCCACCGCCATTTTGGATCCGCCATTTTGAATTTAGAAAAACTGACCTTAGAATCGTAATCAGAGACACTATTGCTAAAAACTTTAAAAACAACTGCAGCAATCTTTTCTAAAATATACAGTTTTTTCTGTTTGTAAAAGAGTTAAAAATATCTTAATGAAATAATAAAAAAAATTTCTTTCAATATGGATAGTTATTGTTTTATTGCTGAAAATGAATCAATATATGTGTTTTAATGAAAACCAACAAAGTTTAAAGTGCTGTACACGTTATTATAGATTTTTATGTTATATTGAGTTTCGTTATAGTAGAGAATATATTCACTATATTTTTATTCATATTATTTTAATAACTTGTTTGCAAAAATTATAATTGAATTTTGTCTTTCATATATGGTTTCTTATATAATTTTAAGACATGACAGAAAAGAGGCACTTATCAGTTTGTTAGTTGTTTAATTAAAGGAGTGATATTCATGTGAGTATTTGTTTTGCAGAAGGAAAGCAGTTGGCAACATCTCGAGACTGTAAATTCATAGAAACTTCTGGTGGTATTCAACACAACGTCGATGAGCTTTTAGTTGGAGTTCTAAAACAAATTCGTTTGCGAGAAACACGGGACAAGAAACTACGCCGACAAGGTAGCAAAAGTAAAATTCTGTCAAAACTTCATGGTAGTAAAACTGCTTTAAGTTTAAATCTCGCCAAAGAAATACTAAATAAAATGTGTTTAAATGATAGTAAAAGTAAAAGTTGTGAAAATCTTCATGTTTTATAAATTTTTCAATTTTAATCAATTTTTTTTAACAATTTTGTTTTAATTTTTAAATTTTAAGCAAAATTTTTATTTTTACAAGAAAGAATGCCACACTCTGTATATTGTTGAAACGGTTAACGAACGGATTACATTGTAAAATTTAATTTCTGCAAATCGATATTTTACACTGGTATAATATGATTATAAAGCGGATTTCGAATGTATGTTTGGAATTTAATTTCATAAACCCAAAATAACGTGATAAAAAATTTTAAAAATAAGTAGAATTTTTATAATTTGGTCGAAATTGAATTGAAATGAAAAAAAATATTTAAAGATAAAAAAAATCTGAAAAAATTTAATACTGATGATTAATTTTAAGACAACTGATAATGTCTTTTTCTTCAAGAAAATTTATAGTAATTGATATTATTAAGCGTAAACATAGTATACCTATATACTATGATATTGTAATAAGAAAATTTAATTTTAAATTAATGTTAAGATCCAAAAGTATAGTTACTATACCTTCTACAAAAAAACATGAGGAGCATGAATTTTCCACAAAAATCAAGAAATAGAATTTTCATTGTAAACAATTTTATTAAATATAAATTTTTTTTAGACAAATTCTCATTTTTCCAATTATCATTTGACAGAATTTCTTTTCAAACGAATTTTTACTTGGCAGATTTTTTATAGGTATCGAATTTTTATTTCACTAATTTTTTATTTTAAAAATTCTAATTCAACATTTTATATGATTTTAAGTAATTTTAAGTGATTAATAAAATTTTTAAATGCTAGAATTTTCCTATTCATTTTCTATTCACCGATTCTTTTTTTGTCTGAATTTTTATTTGTACAAAATGTTATTTGATAGAATTTTTAAAACGCCAAATTTTCATTTGTCCAAAATGGCAAATGACCGACAAAAAATCAAACAGAAAGATTTTCGGCGCGAATTTTAAAATTAACCAATCACAAATTTATTCAGAATTTTGGATTGGTTAATTTTAAAATTCGCGCCTAAAATCTTTCTGTCGATTGTCTATTCGGACATTTGAAATTTCGGACAAATGATAATTCGGTGTTTTGAAAATTCTATCAAAAAAAAAAAAAAAATTCGTGCAAACAAAAATTTAGTATCTAAAAAATCTGTAAAATAAAAATTAGTTTAATAAGAAATTCGAAAAATGAAAATTCGTCTAAAAAATAATTATATTTTATAAAAATTTTTTAAATTCAAAATTTTAACAAATGTTTTTTTATGTGAATATTCATGCGCCCCAAACATGTTTTGAATATTTTCATGTAAAGAAAAAAATGAAAATTAAGATCAATTTCAAAATAGGTCTCTACAACGCTATTTAGATAAAAATATAAATTTTTTGAAATTGTATATGTAACTATTGCGATGAAATGTATAGCTTCAAAGAAGTTCAAAAAAGAAAATCCCATCACTCTAATTATATAATTTAATTCATCGTTCTTTGTTTCTAAACAAAATAAGTTGAAAAAAATAATTTTGTGGTTAGAGAAAATATTTAGGATCTTAAGACAAAAGAAATATGACTTTTGATTCTCAGGTCTTGACATTTCAATAGAGTATTATTCAAAATATAAAATGAATGGCATCGCCTGAGAATAAGTCTGCACTGCAGTGATTTGATTATTTATTAAACATGAATAATAATAATAATAATAATAATAATAATAATAATACAAGTGTCGAATCTATTATCTTGAAAATTACATGTTTAGAAATATGTATTTTTCAATATTTGTCGTAAGAATCTCTCAATGCTAGAGACTGATTCGTAATTACGTGATACCTCTTAATTTTTATTTTTCTTCTAAATGTCTGTTATAATTTTCCAAGACTTGTTAAGGAATAAATTAACTAGATATTTTAATACAAATATATAACAACGTCATAAAAATTAAGATAACTCGTTAAAAGATAGAAATATATATATATTAATGTAGATAGTCTTTTGGACGCTGGTTTCGTCCATTTGACGCAGGTCGTCTCTCTTTGTATGATTCTAAAAGCCATATGCAGTCAAGTCATAAAACATTAAATGTGATGCATCCGTAAAACTCATAATACATAGGATTTATCAAAAAGAGAATTTTCTGCATCGGATGAGTAGTGTTTCAAGGCTTATAAGAAATAAATAAATATATATATATATATAAATATGCTTTCTTCTCAAAAATATAATATGTACAAATATGTATAGGTTTTAGATTGACTGTTGATACTGACAACAAGAATGAGTAGACGCGGCCTAATTATCCATCAAATAAGAGAATTTTTGTATCTCCACTATATAATAGGTGCTAAAATTTCATTGTCTATAAGAAATTCATCATTATTATACTGTCATTCTAGGTTCAAATTATTTTTTTAAAAACAATTTCAAAAAATTGAAAATGCACTCTATTGTACATTTAGATATTTTTGAAATCTAATTTCAAATGTGTCTATAATAGAGTAGGGGAGAGTGACAAACAGTGGGACACTTTTTTTTCAAAGACATATTAATATGTCAATTTTATATATTTTTGAAGACTTTTTGATATTACCATAAAGTTTGAACTCTTTTCTACACAATGCACATATTCTTTTAAGGCCAGGTCCAAGTGAGGCAGCGCCATCTACATTGATACAAAAATTTTGGATAATTTTCAACAGCCTTTTCTTGAAAACAAGATGGTAAAATGCTTTTTCCTTTATGGATAATTGATTATTGGCAAGATATACACCAGCTAAAACTTTTTTTGAGTTAAAATAATGAAAAAAATTTCATGTCGATAAATTAAATATGAGCACTTTTTTCACAAAAACTGTAACAGTACTTTCTCAGAAATTACAATCAAAAATGCCATTTCCATTTGGAAAATTAATAAACGCTAAAAAATACACGACCTAAGATTTACCAATCACGAAAATAACAAAAAAAAATTTTATTAAATATTTAACATATTGATACTGCTTTACTGATTGTGACAGCCCTTTGGTAGATTATGTATTTCAGGTGGTTAGCAACAGCGCCAATCTCCTCCTTTCGGCAAAACCGCGAAACGTCTGGTGACATACATAACCTGCCAAACGGCTGTCATAATGAGTAAAATATGTTATGTTAAAAAACTTTTTTTTTTGTTATTTTCGTGATTGGTAAATCTTAGGTGGTGTATTTTTTAGCGTTTATTAATTTTCCAAATGGAAATTGCATTTTTGATTGTAATTTCTGAGAAAGTACTGTCACAGCTTTTGTGAAAAAAGTGCTCATATTTAATTTATTGACATGAAATTTTTTTTATTATTTTAACTCAAAAAAAGTTTTAGCTGGTGTATATCTTGCCAATAATCAATTATCCATAAAGAAAAAAGCATTTTACCTTCTTGTTTTCAAGAAAAGGCTGTTGAAAATTTTCCAAAATTTTAGTTTCAATGTAGATGGCGCTGCCTCACTTGGACCTGGCCTTAAGGAAGTTCTCTCGCAAACAGAAATGACGAAGAGTTAATTATCAAACTTGATAAACTGATAGATAATGGTTTAAAGAAGATGTAGTTAAATTTTTAGAGGTCTAGGTGGATTTTGACAAAAGATATAAATAATTTTCTCTTTTCACATTTAACACGGGTTCTTATGGGAAATTGAATTTTTTGGTCTGAAATCTCAAATTGTAAAAAATCTGACGAAAAGATATTACTGGAACTTTATATACATAAAGTTTAATAGCCAATGTTCACTTACTTTTAATAAAATTGATCAGACCTGGCTTAGGAGACTCCCAATTAATTATTTTGTCTAAAAAAACACCGTATTTTGACAATCAGAAATTACTTAGCACAACGCTTGGCAACGTTGCGTCTTGTAGGTTAAGTATAGAAAAAGCGCGAAATTTGAAAGTAATATAAGTAGTATATACATATAATAGCATATTCTTCAAAGATTCATAATAATGAATAATAATTTGAATTTGCTTATAAAAAATTAAGATTTTTAAAATAATAAATTATTGTTATTATTATTTAACGAAAATAAATCAAACAATAGCAGACGACACGAAACGGAACGGGGGAAGTATAATCCAACGTTGCCAAGCGTTGAGCTAGTACTACGTGATACAAATGAAAACTTAAATGGGCATTGATTTGACTGACGTTGGAGGGAGAGAACTTCCTTAAGATTATATTGTGATGAAATAAAAAAATTTGAAGTTTTTCAAACTTGATACATTTTTCTTGTTTTGAAGGTTTGTGTTAAACAGTGGGACACCTATTATTAAGTACCGAATAATTATATCAATAATAATATTCTGCTTCAAATTTTGTAAATATATATATTTTGCATTAAATAACGTTAACAAATGTTGCAAAACACTCATAATTTAATAATATTTCACATTTTTATAATACGATGTCAAGTTTCATAAAAAAAATTGCTATTATTTTTTTTCACGTTTACAGTATTGCTGATCATGCGTCATAATTTGGTCATAACCTAAAAACAATTTGGAGAAAAATTTGAATAGTCGTTCTCTTATCAAGTGTTACTTTTTAAATGTTGTCGAACAATAATTGTAATAATTATTAATTATAAATTTTCAATTTTTTTATTGTTTCTTAGCATAAAAAAATCACATTTTTAGTCGCTGTGTAAGTATAAATGCGCATGCGTATAGCTGACACAACTTAAGGCACTCTCACACCTTTTTGGCTGCCTGCCTGCCTGCAGGTTACCATAGCAACGCACAAGTGTGAGTGAGACAAAAAATTTGAATATTTAAATTTTTAAATTTTCTGTCGCACTCACTCTCATGCGTTGCCATGGTAACCTGCAGTCAGCCAAAAAGGTGTGAGAGTGCCTTTATAATCAGTGTTGCCAAAATCCACGTTTCATAAACTTACATTTTTGCCTGTCCCAGTGTTTAATGTCCCACTGTTTTAAGTTGAGCAATCGCAAGTAAATTATTTAAATAAAAATTGTTTGTGAAATTTTAAAATATTTTAAATTATTGGATATTATTAGAGCTCTGCAAAAGTTCGAATTTTGTATGGGCTCGGATCGAATATTCGATTCGAGCTCATGTTAATTCTTATGAAGCGGTTCAAATTTTAAAAACTTGCACAGCTCTAGATATTATACTTAAAAATATGAGTAAACGAAGTAACAATTACACTTTTTGTAAAAACTGTCCTTTCTATATAAAAATCAGCATTGTATTTCAAGAAAAA